ATGACCAGTAGATTGTAGAATAACCAATGACACGAGCAATATGAATGCAACAATCGGTACCCTAAGACTCACAATTATGGAATGGGAAAAGAATGGCAGTGCGATAGACTTACCTCCACGTGGTGCACCCTGGGCAACGTGTACTCATACGGCAAAAAGTCTATTAACCGGCAATTGACTTCTGACTTCAAACTACCATGACCCCACTGTGTGTCATATTTGACACCTTCCACAGTACTCACCTCACCTTTTTTCTAACTTTGTGTCTGCCTCTTTTACATCTTTGAAACACTCTTCTGTTCCTCCCCCCATCTCGACCTTTTTTACTTTGATGTTCCTTCCCATCTGTGAAGCCTGAAGTCAACTAAAGGGCTAATGATAACTATCAAAACGCCTGCCATTTGATATAAATAAATAAGACTGAATAGGCCTTCTATCTTCTGGTAGGCTTAGTAAATGACCAAAACTGTCTAAATTGTGATATTTTTCTAGATTTACATTGGCCATTCGACGAAATAGTTCAGCTGATGCACTTCACACTACCTATTACATTTTTCTGATAGACAAAATAGTTTATGACACAGTGATCTACAGTTCATTAAAAGCCTCCTATAAATTATTTTCCCCTCATCAAAAGTATGTGTTGGATATCTTCCCATTCATATTAAATAATCGAATCCTCCCTTACATAGCGCTCCGTTAATGGACATTAAGCGAATAAATACATTTTTTTCACCTACAAACCATGTTCATTAAAGAAGACAATCCCGGGTCCGTCCAAATGATTTACCTCAACCACTCTATCTGCATCAATAAAAGGCCAGATTTCCAGTATAGAAATCTTTATTTATTCATTTATTTATATCAAATGGCAGGCGTCTTGATGGTTATCATTAGCCGTTTAGTTGACTTCAGGCTTCACAGAGGGGAGGGAACATCGAATTGAAAAAAATCGAGTGGGGGGGGGGGGGGGGGAACAGAAGAGTGTTTCAAAGATGTAAGAGACAAACACAAAGGTTGAACAAAGGTGAGGTGAGTACTATGAATATAGTCGAATATGGCATAGAGTGGGGTTATGGTATTTCGAAGTGAGAAGTCAACTGCCAGTCAATAGACTTTTTATTTTCAGTCAGAAGTCAACTGCCGGTTTATAGACTTTTTTGCCGTTTGAGTAGTGAGAAGTCAACTGCCAGTCAATAGACTTTTTTCCGTATGAATATACGTTGCCCAGGGTGCACCACGTGGAGGTGAGTCTATTGCACACCCCTCATATGGAATTCTTGAATAGTCTTATTGAGAAGTTGGGACACTTTGCTTGCTCGTTCTGGTGAAGTCTGGGCATTGCTTGAAAGTAAGTTGATGAAACTCGATACTACCAGCCCTTGTCATTTAATCCACATACATCAGCTGCACATGAGTAAATGTCAAACCATACTACGTTGTGATATCTATTTCACAGCGAAACTTGCACCATATATACAATTAATATTACTTCATTTATTTTAAATGGCAGGCGTTTTGATAGTTATCATTAGCCCCTAAGCTGACTTCAGGCTTCAAAGAGGGAAGGAACATCAACATGAAAAAAGTCGAGAGGGGGAGGGAACAGAAAAATGTAAAAAAAAAATGTAAAAATGTAAAAAAATGTAAAAGAGACAGACACAGAGGAAGAGAAAAAGGTGAGATGAGTACTGTAGAAGTGGTCGACTATGGCATACAGTGGGGTCATGGTAGTTTGAAGTGAGAAGTCAAGTGATGGTTTATAGTCTTTTGCCGTATGGGTATACGTTGTCCAGGGTGCACCACGTAGAGGTAAGTCTATCGCACTGGAAAAGATTAAACTAATATGGCAGAAAAATATTATTTAAGTAGAATATTACTATGTAGCAGGTCCATTATCCTCCAAAGTTACTTTGATTCTTAGCTTCAAAATCGCCCATGATCAAAACATGTGCAGACGTGTGTTCAGGCGTATAGATTTTATTGACATTGAGAACGATCACATTTCCCAACTAAACAGAGCAATACCACCCTTGACAAACAGGCAGAATGTTGGCATATTTTGTTGTCCGAGTTAAAGCAGATATTAATCAATAATTACTTATTTCTCCCTCCTAATTAAGGGGCCCGAACATGTGTATTCCTAGTTTGGATGATATGATTGGCTAAACACTTCATTGGAGGTATTTTAGCCTCTCTTTGCGACAATTGTTTAAACAAAAGACGGCACATGAAAAAAGCAAGATAACTGTGAAAAGAAACCTCTTCTAGAAATCCTGATATCTTCCTGTAGAAATTTATGGTAAGATGACATGTGCTTACTTAAGAGAATTCAGTTCAATTTAAAGTTGGTATAAATAGCCGTTTACTCCACTTCAGTACCATAATCATATTGAAATCGCCAAAAGCATCTTATTATTGTCAAAAATCAAAATGATCTGTACTGACGAGAATCCACAATCTGCAACCTATGCGACCTCTATGTTTACATCGGGTAAATGATGGGCTTACCTAATTTAATGATGCTGATATTTAAAATCATTTACCTTCAAATTATTTTCCTTTTCAAAGGTCAGTCTTTGCCTGAAGCAACTTTCCAAGAAGATCTTATAGACGAAGAATTCAAACGTCAACTCTATGACATCTTCGTACATCATTTGTCAACTTCAACGAATCCCCAAGATCATGTTATTTCAAATCCTTTAGCGAAAATTCCGAGTTCGTTCGATAATCTCCCATTTGAAAGTATAATTGAGATCACAGGATGGTTCGCATTTTTCCTGGTGTACGTTCCACGAGCCCTGAAAGAGGGTGGCCTTACTTATCTTCAAAGAACTAAGATTAATGTTGAAGATAAGAGCTTAGATGAATTCACGGCCTCTTTGAATAACCGATACTCAAACTCACTGGCAAATGACCCTTTTTTTCAACCCTTTTACAAGGAATGGGAGACTTATTTTCATTCGCTTTAATTTGTAATGGAGAAAATGAATTATTTTTAGGATTTTAAAATTTAAAATAAATAGCTGGTGCCAGTGTTTGAGACGTTTGTTCTGTCTGTTGAGTCGAATGGTGATGCTTACTGGGGTTAGGTAAGTGAAAACAGAAGGGGTGGATAACTAAGTCAACTCTTTTAACGTCGTTATTTTTTATTGCAAAATTGCTCTTTTTTGGCATTACTCGCGCATTGATTTAAAAATCCTCAGGTTGAATACGATATGATTGTAAATAAAACTTGGCCCACGGGCTATGGACTTTCAAACATTGGCTCTTAACGAACGCTTTTCGATGATGATAATCTTCCAGACAAAGTTGAAATAGGAAAAGAAAGTCGATATTGCGAATCGTGCAAAAAGCCTCAAAGGTTTCTGTTTCCGATGATCATCTATCATTCGATTCGTATGCTCCATTCGGTTTGTAGCTAATTGTTTATATCCCTTGATTTATATGCTGCTTGATCGATCTACGAATGGCACTTAAGCGGCAAGCACTTATGTGGTACTTAGTGTAATTTAATTCAGCATGTTTAAAACGTCCAATCAGTTCTAATTTTCACTAATTTAGAGGCCGGGCAATTTAGAGTTTGCATTTAATACTTCGATAATAGTTCAAAATATCTACTTGGAGTTCATTGACTATCTTGTGGGACACTATCACGGGCGCGCACACTAGGCTTAAGGTGCATCGTGCAGCCTCGCACACGAATTGGTTGCGAAGAAGCACAGCCAATGACCAATAGAAATCCTGCTACAGAACACTACTCAGAGATATTTAGCTATTAATGTTCACTCGAATTATGCTAGATTTATCTGATAACTAATCGTTTTGCCAAAATCTCAATTCGCTATCAATATACGTGCTGAGTAAACGTATTCCGTGCTACACGTCTGTTTCCCTTATAGCTGGGTTATAGCCTAGCTGGTTCTGGGAGTCTAGCTAGATGTTGGAGAATATGCCATAGAGATTTCTGAGTCAGTCAGGCTTTACTAGCGTAGCAATCCGCTAGCGTGTGAGTTGGAGTCCGTAACTAAAACCCAGCTCTGATTTTGGAGATGAAATTTGCTTTTTCTAATCAGTTACTATTTGAATCCGAACATAATTGTTTAATATTTTGGCTTCATAATCAGGTGAATCATTAATAAATAACAATTAAGTTTGACCACTTTCGCACCACTATAGTTCGTGTTCTAATATCCAAATAAACCTTGAGATTTCAGGTACTTAGTTACCTATATTGCCCAATAAAATATGTTAAATATTGCACTTATGATAAACTCTTCCCCTAATATTATTATTTCAAATGGCAGTCGTTTTGATAGTTACCATTAGCTCTTTAGCTAACTTCGGGCTTTACAGAAGGGAGGAACATTAAAGTGAGAAAGATTCGAGGGGGAAGCAGAAGAGTGATTCACAGATGTGGAAGAGACAGATAGACACAAAGGTAGAGAAAAGGTGAGATGAGTACTATGAAAGTTGTGGAATATGACATACAGTGGGGTGATGGCAGTTTGAAGCCAGAATTCGACTGTCGATTTCGAGACTATTTTGCCATATGAGTATGCGTTGCCCAGGGGCCACCACGTGGAGGTAAGTCTATCGCACGCTCCTCTTCCTCAATAAACTTACCACAGCTGATTTAGAACTGCCTAGTATTGAAGTAAGCGATGCATTGTTGCTCAATGACTGTGGCTCGGCCACCTCACTACCCAAGCAATGTACCAAGTCCAAAGTTATGGAGGTAAGACAATCTATTTGAACGGGTTTCCCAACCCACCTCAGGAACTTGTTAGAACTTTTTGCACTTTCGATATTTATCAAACATATGCCAATAAATTATTTTAATTCGAGATAAAAGTCAATCTATTCACTAAATACAAGTATTATGCACTCTTTACAATTAGGAATCAAATAAGATCGTTGGCAGTTTCGAAACAGCATTACAATGGTGTTGGTAGGAATTCGTATTCAACCTCTTCCATTTCAGAATTTTAAACTTCAAAAGCGATAAGGATAGTACAGACCTTGAAGGCGGCACTAAATTGGTACACCAACAATATTATAAGCAAATTAAATTGAGCATTCCTTCCAGGCTATGCAGCCTAACGTACTTGCATTTGCTGGCACAACCAAGATGATTGAAGCAACCCTGAAAATACGTGTGCTTTAAACTAGGCCATAGTTACATAAGGCGTGCGATTCTTATCATGGTCTCAAAAGGATAACATTTTGGCGAGAATACATGACAATAACATCGTATGAGTTAAAGCTCCTTTTATATTATGTGAGTAAGGGGTGTGCGATGGACTTACCTCCACGTGGTGCACTCTGAGTAACGTATGCTCAAACGACACAAAAGTCTATTAACCGGCATTTGACTTCTCACTTCAAAATACCATCACCCCACTGTATGCCATATTCGACTACTTCTACAATACTCATCTTACCTTTTTTCTCTGCCCTTATGCCTGTCTGTTTCTTTTACATCTTTGAAACACTCTTCTGTTCCCCATCCCTCTAGACTTTTTGTCACTTTGATGTTCCTTCCTCTCTGTGAAGCCTGAAGTCAACTAAAGGACTAATGATAACCATCAAAACGCCTGCCATTTGATATAAATACATAAATATTATACGAGTAAGGTCAAATATTCTTCTGTTAATTCGCTATTATTCCTTCAACAGACTTTAGTCTTTATTTTGTCATTTTGTCCCTCCTAAGGACAGTTTTTGCTGCATCTATCTATTGGATGAAGGAGTTTACCAGCTGGTAGAACATGTTTGAATCAGACAATATCTTCTTTCTCACATTCATTTGCTAACGGTCAATGGCAGTAAAGCTTCGGAGAAATTTTATCAATCATTCAATATTGGCGCCTTCATCTTTTTCACAGGAACCAAAATGTTTCACTTGGAACAGAATAAGAGATCCAATGTTTCCTGATTTTAAACCCACTACAATTTCTAATTTTTGTCCAGGGATGAAAGAAGTTATTCCATTTTAGTTATTTCAGGCTGTTCGGCACAGTCACCGCAACCAGAATGTCCTTCCATTCTAGAATAGAGTATACTTGTGTTAAATTTTCAAAAAGCGAAAGAAAGGTTGCATAGTGACGGCACCAATAATAATATTAGTTCTAGTGTCAAACAAAAATCTTAGACCCATATTTTACACTGGAAATTTGCGTTTAGGTTGAAAATCACCCATTTCAATCGTAATCAATAAAACCAATTATATCTCCTATAAGATTAGACTATAAAATAGTGATTTTGGTAACATTTATTAGAAAAAGAGGCGATCAAAGGTAAATAATGCACACATTATTGTACAAAACGCTTTGAGGGATCAAAAACGTGCTTCTTGAAGTTAAGTGTCACTACGAGAGGACCCGTTTTCATGTCATCGGTAATCGATTCTTCGACTGAAGCTGCCGCTGCTGCACCTTTACCGGCCTTCTTTCCAGCTTTTCCGCTAAATCTCTGCACAAACATCTCCGGCAAGTCAGCTAGAAAAACAAGACACTGGCGTAAAATAACCATTAAATCTGCTCAAATAAGATAGTTGAGGTAAACCACCAATAAATTCCCGCGTAAAGGGGTGCGCAATAGACTTACCTCCACGTGGTGCACCCTGGGCAACGTATACTCATACGGCAAAAA